TATATATATATATATATATATATACCGCTGTATTTATACGTGTATAATGACATCATACTCTACTGATCACATGTATACACAAGGTGAGGCGACTTTAACTCAAGAGCCACCGCCACCACGTTATGTACTGCAAGTAAGTACGGGTAAATGGCATAGGAAATCGGCATCATCAAAGGTTTTCAAAAAAGCTGAAGGTGAAAATATGCAGAATTCACTTGACTACTTTCTCCGAAAAGCCATGTATACATCCGTTTCAACAACATGTGACAATAATAAGACCGATTCCTCACCAGAAGATGTAATTAAGGAAATTGATCAATTTGAGGTAAGACACTGTGGGGAACCATTACACCGCCATTCCTTTCCTTCAGCTCTGACAGAGGTTAATCCTATAGTTGGACTCTTGTGCGGTATACCTTTGTATGAAATTCATGACGCCCTTCTGCAAAAAAAGGCATCTGAATTGCAAAGACAACAACAACAACAAAACTATTGTTGCCATAGTGAGCCATTGCGGTTAACTCTTGATGAACTATATGATACCTGTGTGCAACTTGTATCTACTATGGTAAGCTACGAATATCTTCAGCGAATGTTCTCTACCCTTCCTACTTATAGTCAAGACAATTCTGTATTACTATCAGCTTTTTTTTCTTTTCTGGTCGAACGCTCTTTTCACCCGAGACTTAATCATAACGTTCATGCTATTTTTAAGGCTTTCGATCCAGAAAAAACAGGTGTAATATCTGTAGCTGTGTTATCTCCTCCAGTTTTTCTTGCTTGGGCAGAACTGAATCTTTTCGGAACATTACGAGGTGATTGGGAAAAAATGGCGGCTGCGCTCGAGAAGGCGAATGGTGTGGACCTTAGCATTGTTGACGGCAATCATTTACTCACCCCAGAGGCGACCCGTGCTGTTTTCTGTGCATCTGATCTCTTATACAAGGCGATTGAGAGTGTTGAAATGGATGTTGTACAAACCAAGACATCTTTTTAGAAGGCCAAAAGGATTGCAAAATAATATATCTTTTTTTTTTTTTTTCTTCCTTGTGATTTTCTGTGTAAAAGTGCAATTTTGAAGTTTTTTTTTCCCTTCTAATTAGAAAAAAAAAAATGATGAATCAATATTTATTTGGACAACATCTGTTGGAGTTTTTATGTGCAGAAAGAAAGATGTAAGTTTGTATATACATTATTATTCAGAAAGAATATATATATATATATATATATATATATATATATATATTTTGTTTTTNTTTTTTTTGTATGTTTCTCCGAGTTGACATTGTGCCACTCTTGAAGTTGGTTATAGTGGTTGTGTTTGTGGTTGTGGAAACAAGAGAGAGAGAGGAAAGTTGGAACAAAAGCATTATTTGTATTATTTACTATACTAGTTTTTTTTTTCTTGTTGTTCTTTTTCTTGTGAGGAGTGCTCTTCTATTGAAATTTAGTCGTAGGTGAAGGGATAGTTTAAAGAGGTTGTATTCATGGGTGGAGATCGCTTACTAACACCTGAAGAGGTGCAACGATTGCAGGAGACAACAACTCTCTCCGAGGCTCAAATTGTTCGACTACACAATCGATTTATAATGTTGGATCATGATGCCAAGGGAAACATATCCAGAAAATCATTTAGCACAATAGCTTCTTTGGCTTCAAACCCGCTACTGGGACGAGTGTTAGCTGTGGTAGACGCAAATGGCGACGACAAGATTGATTTTATAGAATTCGCAAAAGCTCTTTCTGTATTCTTACCGCAAGCTGACAAGCGTGAAAAACTACGTTTTACATTTAAGATGTATGATATTGATGGGGATGACAAGATCAGCAATAAAGATCTCTTTGAGACACTGAAAATCATGGTGGGGACAAATCTTACGGAAGTTCAACTACAACAAGTTGTGGACAAAACATTTATTGAAGTTGATTTGAATCGTGATGGATATATCACATTTGATGAATTTGAAAAGTTAGGCCTTTCAAACACTTTTGGTAATAGACTCAATTTGCAAATCTAGCTTTATGGTACTTGATGAAATGATTTGCCTTTATTGTGCGAAAAATTCTACTTTTTGCACTTTTATTGTTTCTTCTTTTTTCATTCATTACTCGTCGTCGTCGTCGTCGTCGTCGTTTTTTTTTTTTTTTTTTTTTCGTTTCCCTCCTTGTTTGTTAAACAAGATGCAGTGACCCTAGGAAAGGAAGAGAATGGGCTGACTATTGCCCAACTATATATATATATATATATAATATCCCTTAATCTCTTTATTTAGTTGTTTTTTTTTTTTTTTTAAGAAATATTTTCCTATTTCTTCTTCTTTGCTGGAGTAAGTAAGTACAATTTGTTGCTGTTATGAGATTATTATTTTTATTATTGTTACTTCTATTATTATGTTTGTTTCTCTTTCCTCTTATTCATTCCTTCATATATAACCTTTCATTTAATTTCCCCTTTATTTTTTTATTTTTATTATTGTTATTTTAGTAGTAGTGGGGAGCAGTCTCAGCACGGCCTGAGCCATGTTGCGCCGTAGTGATCTTCTTCTGAAGAAGGGCTGGACACACAATCCGGGACGCACAAGACGCGGTGGGAAGAATCTCGCCTGGCGACCAAAGATATCTGAGAAAATTCTTGAGCAATTTATTCCCCTCAACCTCGCATTCCCGCGGCGTCACCCAAACTCTTGGCAAGAGCTGCAATTTCGCTTTTTGGGTTATACGAAATGGCCGAAAGAGATTGGATTCTACAATGCTGGTGATAATTTTGAATTGACTCCAGAGGCAATGTACAGAATTTATTTAAAAAATCGAGACGAGGATTTTTGGTCACGACTGCATAACGAAAAGACGATAGTACATTTAATGCCAAAAATAGAAAAGGAACCGAAGAAGTATATGGAACGAGTAGATGACATATTTAGACATCACCTTAAAAGATTTGGAGCTGATCATTATATTTATAATGCTGTCATGCAGGCATCTGCTTTTGCTAAGGATATTCTTCGCTGTGAACAATTGCTAAATGAAATGCGATCACTTGGTCTTGAGCCAAATGCCCAAACATACGTGAACATGATGCTGGCAGTTCACCTAACTGGTGGACCCCGTGAAAAGGCGGAGGCATATATGAATGAAGGAGTGAAAACTGGAGCTTTGTCTGCCGTCATGAGGCTTGATACAGAATTTCAAATGTGGATGGATCAGTTTAAGCGTCTTGGTTCTTTTACAGCAAATACAGGTTACTTGTCAGTGAATGATGAGGGGGCCAAGCCGATGCCCCGCGATATGTGGGCTTTATGGGGATGGCATCATTCTGAACCAAAGTTTATTAGCCGTAAACGTATGATTAATGAACAAGTTTCTAATCGTGTACGATGTGGTAGGGAGTTGGTGGGTACTGTGTATTCAAAGGCACGCCGTCAACCATGGGCGAAGTACAATGGTATGCTCCCATTTGACTTTAATGGTCCGGCGCGCCGAAACACCGTTTCTTTTAAGGACGCTCCTGCTCCTGCACACAATTTTGAAGTGTGTGGATCGGCGTTCTAGCATTTTTTTTTTTTTTTTCAATATTGTGATGATTGTTGGCGATGATCTCTATACATGAGGAGGAGATCTACATTTGTTTCGTCATGTATATTGAACTACATACATATATTATTTCTTTCTCTTTTTGTTCTGTTGTACATATTTGAAGGGTACGGGGAGGGAGCTTAAAAAAAAAAAAAAAAATAGAAAAATGCTCTCTGCACTTCACTTCTATCATGTTTTTTTTTTTTTTCTTTCTTTTTTCTTTCTTTTGATTCTTAATATGCTTTTTGTTTTCTTCTTTAGAAAGTGATTTTTTTATTTATTTATTTTACTCTGTGGCAATCCTCCCCCAAAATAAAAAAAATAAAATAAAAGGAAAAGCAAAAAGAACTCAGAAGGATAGAATATAGGGCGAAGAAGCCCACCTTCTGATAGATATGTCTGTTCGTGTGCGTTTTGTGCTCAGCGGCGCCTGCCACCCATCATATTCTGGGCGGCAGATGCAGTTGGAGGTGCCGCTCGTGCAGCCGAATGGAAATCCAACAACAACTGCGGATATTAAAGAGATGATCCGCAATAATTGGCCTAGTGATCTGCCGGAGATGCGCGATAGCATCAACACCACCGATATGAAGATTCTCCGAACAGGCAATCTTCTCGCAGACAACACGCAGCTGCAGAATATTCTTTCTCCTGCAGAGACGCACGACTGCAGCGTCTCCTCAGCGGCCCCACGAGACGGGGAGGAACCAAAGTCTGTGCTCATGCACTTAGTATTTCAGAAGAACCGGACGACAACAAAACGTGAAAAAGACAACAACAAATCATCTACAGGGAAAAAGAAGGATAGTGGTCCTAGCGATAGCAGCTGTTGTTCACTCATGTAGAAAGAAAAAAAAAAAAAAATATCCAGCCTTATTACACTGTCGCTTTTCATTTGGTGGAACGATGCGACAGGGATGCAAATAATAATAATAAAAAAAAAATGGTAGAAGAAACAAAAAATACGAGAAAAAAAAATACCAAAAACAATATGGTTTGACTGATGAAAGACTATCACTTTTTTCTTCCCCAAAATTTCCCTCGACTTTTTCTGTATATGTGTACATATATATATATATATATATATGCGTGTGTATTGTGGCTGTTATTGCTATCACACGCTCTCTCGCTCTGCGGTTACTTCTTTTTTATCTTTGCATTTTTTTTTTTCTCTCTCGTGTTGTTGTTGCTGTTTATGTTGCTATATTTTTTTTTTTTTTCAGCTTTTCTTGTACAAGAGGTGTGCGGTTTCACTTTTCACTGAGGTCCGTACAGGAGTTATCTGCTCCCGCTAACACGGAACTTGTGTAAGGTGCTGTGCAAACCTTCTTTTTCACCACTATCACTGCTACTACTATTACTACTAGTACCACCACCACCACCACCAGCAGCAGCAGCAACAAGAATAAGAACAACAACAACAACAACAACAACAACAACAACAACTACAACAATAATAATGGTGGTGTAGCGAAACTTTAAAACCAAAAAAAAAAAAAAAATCCAGGCTAATATGGTGGACAAGGTTCGCTTTCTCTGAACTGGGCTGGAGAAATTTATGTGATACTCAGTACTCGGTATCTCTTTCTCTCTATTTCCTAGTACATCTTCCCTAGTCTTCTTCTTTTTTTTTTTTTGTTTCCTTTGTATGTCTGCTTTCCTTGATTCTTTATGACTGTTTTTCCTCTGTTTTTCTTTCTTCTTATTTGTATTCCCACCCATATATATATATATATATATATATGATCTATCTATGTATAGAGGACCCGTCGACCAACATTAGTGGCTGATGGAGGGCGATGGGGATGGCGTCCCACTCACGGCGGCTGAGAAGCAACAGGCGCTGGACGCAGTGGCGGCGATGATCGCCTCAACCATCGATGGCGCCAATTGCGCAGACGTCCACGCCGCTCTTTCTGCCGCTCAACAGAGTACAGAGAACTGGCGGGAGGTAGTGCAGCAGAAGATCGACGCCCGACAGCGGTCCTCCTCCTCCTCTTGCAACAATACCAATAATACCAATACCAACATCATCAACGGCAACGGTGAGGCTCCTGTAGATGATGATAAAGAATTTGTGATGCTGTCGGATGTTTCATTACGGACAACAACATGGGAGTGCCCAAAGTGTGGGAATAAACAGAGTGTGGTTGATGTACGCAGTTCACTACGACACAGTTCCACATCCGCTGCGGTGCATGTATTGACGGACAACAACACTTCTTCCTGTTCCATCTGTACAGGAGGAGACTTGTAAAGGGAATTTCAGAAATTCAAAGGTCAAGTAGGATTAGCTGTAATTCTTACACTCCCTTACTCACTCTCCTATAGAAAGAAAGAAAAAAAAAAGGAGCGATACAACGAAAAAAAAAAAAAAAAAGAGAGACGTTTCTCTCTCTATCTCTCTCTCTACCTCTGTATTACTTTTTCAAAAATTATTTCTCACTTTCTGTTGCGTTTACTACACTATTCTTCTTTTTTTTTTTTGTATTTCTCTCTACTTTTGTTGCACGTTTTGACAAATATTTTTGTTATTATTGTTATTATTATTATGGTTGTTATTATAATGTTTTTTTTTTTTTTTTTTTGCTTTGCGCTCGTTTCTTTTCTTACCTTTCTTTCCCCCAATAGTACATATTTTTCCTCCAGCAGGTTTAGGAATACGTCATTCTGCCAGAGGAATGAGTCAGAGTTCCTCATTTGAATCATCTCTTGGGTCTACTCTCTCGCGTGGCGATAATAGCAGGGACACAGTGCCCGATAAGCGAACCACACTTTTACATCCTGAGGCGTACGTGAAACGTCTTCCTATTGAGATTATCCATCGTATTTTTATGGAGGTGATAGAAAGTGATAATAGCAACTTTGCATGGATAGGTATACTTTCATGTGTATGCTGGCGTTGGTACTGTGCTTGTCAACACCCTGTTATGTGGGAATTTGTAGCGAAAAAAATATTTGTAGTGTATCCACTCGTGCAACGGCTACGTAGTGCCCCATTAGATAAGTCGGATATGCAATTACTTAATCGAATGCGACGTTTAGGTGCGCCTGAACAGTTTATTACTCAACACAACACAATGGAGCCACTTATTGCACCTACTAGTCAGACTCTACGTAAAGCTATGGAAGAAGTAAAACGTTATCAAGAAAGTCGTAGTTACTACGAGTACGTTCAACGACGACGTCTTTTTGTTCTTCAAATGGTTCTCTCATGGATTCTTTTATCATTTTCTCTTTTTCTTGGAACAACAGTTTGTGCTATAGAAGGAATTTCTTTGGGTGATTTTTGTACACCGAGTACAGCATTCTCCTTATTATGGATGACTTACACTGCAATAGTAACCATAGTGATAGCCAATGTTGTAATGGAGGCACATTTTGAACCTAAACCATTATTTTACCGTCTCCGAAAAAATAAACCACTTATTATTCGTTCTGCAGTTGCCATTGTTATTGGTCTCTGCTGTGTTGCCCTCCCAACATTTCTGGTACAAGTGAATATTTCTCGCAAAGAACGTTTTGCGTGGTTATGGTGTGGTATCACACCTATTGTTTCACTTTGTCTTTGGCAAATATATGTAATTTTCTCTTGTATTGTCCCATCTGTAAAACAGCAACTCGGTGAGCAGCGAACAGGTTTTAAACTCAAAGCAATTATAATGTTTTTCTTCTTGAATATTCCATATGCTTTCCCTTTGCTTTTTGCAGGGGCTTTATTTTGTATATTAAAATATATAGAATATGGTGGGAAAATTTACATGTTGGTTGGAACCATACCAGTACTTACGAGTCTTGCAGTATTAACACTGCTTTTTCTGGTTGATTTCTGCCTCACACGACGGGCAAAGGATTTAGTTACATGTTGTTGTTTGTTCCTCGCCATGCTTTTTCCACTTTCTTTGATGTGGATAGAGTTTCGTGGTCTTTGTCTTCTTCCTGTTGCTACTGCCTCATTTGTATTCTTCTTTGCGCATTTGCGGCTTATGGCATCTAAAGCATTTCGTGAATTAGTGGACGGAGCACATGTCTGCAGCAGACGGATGTGAAAGTGAATATAAAAGCCTATTAATACAAAGTAGTATTGCATAAGCATACCCTTTTCTCTTTTGCCTGTGCTCCTTTTTTTTTTTTCTCTTTCGCTTTCTCTCTATTTGTGTGCGTGTGCGTTTATGGGTACGGAGAGGGAATCAATAGAGGAAAAAACAAACAAACAAACAAAAAAAAAAAAAACGAGCAAAAGAAGCGTAGGCTATAGAAACTACAGGGATAAAAGTAGAAACAAACCTTTTTTTTTTCTTTTATTAGTCCCATGAAAATATTTACATGTCATATTTATAGTAGTTATTCTCTCATGCTTTTTTTTTTTTCTTCTTTTGTCTCGTCCCTCATTTTTATACTTTTTATTTAAAGTTATTTTTCTCTGCGAACATGGGGACCAGTTCGTGTGTCAATCAAATCTTTTTTTTTTTTTTTCTTCTTGCCTTCACACAAAGGCGACGCATCACAGCTTCTGTGTTTCCCTTTTTAGCGAGGTCAAACAATATTGTGAATTTTGTAGTTTATTGCAAATAAGCTGAGAATGTAGCGGGTTGTAGATGAAATGCTGCAAAACGCTAAATGAATAGATAGATAGATAGAGAACAACTGAGGGGATGAGTTATTTTGTTATCTATTATCTTTTTTTTCTCCCTTTTCTTTTTTTTCGTTCTCTTTCCATGGGATCTCTATGCTTTCTCTTTCTCTCCAAGATGCTGTGTTGCATGACACAGCCGATAGCAAACACGGAAGGAAGAGAATACATGCATCAGTGCTCTGAGAAGAACTCAGAGATGGGAAAGGTTGGACTTGAACAACTACGTCTGCAGCTTCAACACATGCGATCATGCGATGAAGGAATACAAGTAAAAACCACTACCAACTCTTTGTTTCCCCTGAACAACTGTGAGTATGAGGATGAGAAGGGTAAAGTTATGCAGATACCCTCAACAATAGGGCCCTTTAAGGAATGGTCTCAGAAGAGGGATCATTGCGATGCTGATGTACACATGCTGCATCAGCTGGAAGAGCGTTTACGTCGTCAACAAGAGAGTGGAGTGAAAAGGCGTGGTGAGTTGGTATATGCAGTTGGGAAGGCCCAAAGTGATGTAGAGCAGCTTCAGTACTATAGCGAACAGTCCCAGTTGGACTTGTCAAAACTATTACAAGAGTTACAGGAATTACTGATGGATACAACAAACCTAGTGGAGTCTATTGTGCACCGCCCAGAGGCAGTCATTAAGGAAGTGTTTGCAGGATATCATAATACAGGCCATAATTTTGTATATACTCGTGAAAGGGATGCTCGAATCGTATCACGAGTAAATGAAATGCAAGGGACACTAGACTTTATACAACGTAAACTTCAGCAAATATGTACCCGACAGATGCCCTCATGTGATTCTACTGCATCAGAAGTACTATGGGCTAAAATGAGTTCAGAGCGGGAGCGCGCGGACGCGGAGCTTTTGAAGTTAAAAGAAATATTTCTCTCCTTTGTCCAGGAAACTTTAGATAAATTAGAGCAGTTACAAAGGGAACGAGTAGAAGCAGAAGAGCAGTGCACTCGTATCCTAAGTTAGAAGTAGAATTCATTTGTAATATCGCCTTTGTAAAAATACCCTCTTCTTTGTACATTCTACAAGTTATTTTTTATTTTTTATTTTATTTCTTTTACTGCCAGTGTTTTTTTTTTTTTTTTTCCATAACTCTATGGGGGAAGAGGAAGGAGAAGGGAGTATCTGTGAACCATTGATAATGACAATTGGGAAAGACTATTCAACTCAGGTCATACAAGGGCACAGACATAAATGAACAAAAAACGATAAAAAGAAGAAAAGAAAAAAAAAAAAGCGAAAGAAAGAATTAGAGTGAGAAGGATATGTATAATCATTCTCATTCTCTTGGGGGTTACTCTTTTTTTTTTTTAATATTGTTGGTTGAACGTTTTTCTCCTTTAAATTATTATTATTATTTTTTTTTTTTACTGCTTTTTCCTGCCTTCTTTTTTTTATTTTGTTTTAAGAAATATCTTCCCATGGAAGAGAGCATTATTCAAGTTCCGCTCTACACGGCAACCTCTGCTTGGCGAAAGGAGGCTCAGTTGCGTGGTCTGCTGCGTAATCACCCAAGTGTAATTGCCAACAGTGGACCACTGGCAGCTCCGGGAACTGTCTTTAGTACTGCGAGGTTATCTCTGCATAACAATGAAGAGGTATTGGCGGTGGGCTTAAATCCTCTCGGTGGTAGTGGTAGTGTTGGTCTTATGTCTATTGGAAATAAAGAGCCAACACTTGAGGGGGCGATGCGCATGCGATGGCTTGATATGCCTTCTGATCTTTGTCTCAGCAGTATAGAATGGTGTGAGCAACATGTTTTGGTTGGAAGTACACGAGGACGCATATTTGTTACGGAAGCAAGCCCAAGTAGTGTAAATGAAAGTAGTGGATCACTTGTGCCTTTTGGATGTTTGTTCTCAAGCGAAACACAACCACTCGTAGGAGATATTGTTGTTACCCCGAACAGCTACGCCGCATCAACACTTGTTCGAAGCGTACGATGTAACGCTGGAATAAATACTTCTAGTGTTCTTGCTGTAGTTGATAGTCGTGCTATGATATGGGATGTTACTTCTAGTCAATATCCTGTACGTACATGGTCCCCTGAATCAGGAATGAGTGATAATAGTTGCAACAACAATGGTCAACGTGACATATTACTTTTTGCTCATTGGGCGCCATCCAGCGCTTCAGTAGTGTTGACTGGAAGCTATAATGGTAATCTTGTATTAACCGATACACGCGCAAATGATCGAGGTAAACAGAGTTTAGTTTTACCATTACGTCATGGTTATACTGCCCGATGTGCTGATTTTAATGTATTACTACCTTTTGTTGTAGCAGCTGCTTCATCAGATGGTACCCTCTCAGTTTTTGATTGTAGATTTCCTGTTAGCGCAGTTCGTACATTTCCCTCACTACAGGGAGATATCTCTTCTATAAAATGGTTAAAACTTCATTCCGATATTCTTGCAACAGGTGGTATTGATGGTTCAGTTGCATTATGGAATTTACGTTTTCCCCCTACGTATTGTGTTGGGCGGGCGCAGTACAAATACCCAATATCTGATCTTGCAGCAACACGATCATCCGTCGAGCAACGTGTCTTTGGTGTGTCTGATGGCGGTGAATTAACATTAACAGGACTTGCACAACCGGCATTGGCATCTCTTGCGGCATCCGCAACAGAGCGTGTGAAACAGCAATCTGGTAACAACGACGTACCACATCTCCATGAACGTGAACGAGAAGGTGAAGGTTTCCTATATACACGACGACTTCGTGAAGCTTATGCAATTATTACTGATTGTGCAGTGGAACGTTTTGCACGAAAAGATACTGCAATGGCAATGGCTCTTGTAGGTCTCATAGATGTTATGGTAATACAAAAGTTTGATTATAAAATGAAAATTGAGGAAGAAAGGGTACGACGTGATTTATGCGGTGAGGCAACACCGTATTCACAAGCTTTACAGTCTTTTGAGGATATACTTTCTCGATCAAGTGAACGTCTCTGTATAACGTTACCATTAGAGAAAATTCGTGATCTTGGAAAACCTGATTCTGAAGATTTGAAAAAACTTGAAGCCCTTCGATTAAATTTGGTTCTACAACATGTATTAATTTCTGGTGATGCTGGAACAGTTATTAATAGTTTACAAATTTTTGCTGCTAATGCTGGTAATCTAGAGCTTGTAGATAGTGAAACAGCCTGCAATATTGCTACAATGTTATTAAAGAATAACTTTGCAGAAGGAGAAAAGTTTGTGCGAACATTACTTTCTATGCTTATTCAACCTGATGGCACTGTACTTGCACGTACATTGACAAGGCGTTTATTAATTGTAGTACAAGAGCCTCTTCTTACAGCAGGATTACCACCCCGAAAAGTTAAACGACATGAGGATCGTTTTCTTCGTAATATTTCCACAGCACTTGAAGCAGTTCAAGTTCAGTTAACAATTCAAGGTATGGGAATTGAACAGTACCAAAAGGTAATTGCTACTGTTAACAGTTATCAAGGACGATGTTTAGAAAAAGGTGAAAGTGGTATTTTTGGTTGGCTTGCGGTAAAACCTCTTCTTCTTTTCTTGAATTCTCTTACAGCAGACTCAAATTACGCTACTTTTTTCTGGGCGTGTGTACAATTAATTGAAGCATTAGCTAAATGTCCAGCTGTAAGACAGGTAGAAACACTTCTCTTTCGTACAGTAGATCGTATAAACAGTGCTGCAAACCGCATACGTGCAGAGGTGGAACAAGCTGCCAACACACCGAGGTTTTCCCCACCCACATTACGTGAGGCAGCTGCATCACTTCGATCTGTTGCCGAATTTCTTGTTGTATTATTACGTGTGCAATTGGAATGTGAAAATGTAGCCATTGAGAGTGAGATGACTGAAATACCACCTCTTATGACACGCATTTTCGACATTCTTAGTAATGCTTCTTCCGATTTATTGGAAGCTTGGTCCTCTCTTCTTGATGCATTGGGTGAGTGTACACTTCGTGATCTCGTGCGGAAATGTTGTCTCGGTGTTGTGCGAGAGTTTTTCTTTAAAGTTGAGGGTTTAATGGCTGTTTCATCTAAGAAAGAAGACGATGAGACGTTGAATGAAATACTTGATACTTGCCAGGACTTTGTTGACAAAGTTATCAGTGGTGATCGTTAGCGTTGTGTTGATATTACTTGCTCTTCGACTGTAGCTTCCTGTTCACAATGGTTTGCTTTATGCTTCTTAATTCAATCAATGATGATGTTTTTTTTTTTTTTGTTTTTCACCTCCTTTGCAGTTTTTTCTTTTCTCCGTTTTTAAGTACTTCTTTTTTTTTTTTTATTTCTTCCTTTTCTTTTTTTTTTTGTTCTTGTTATAAGAAGCGGTGTTCTTGGGGAGTAAACATCCAGCGAAGCGGCAGACTAGGCTCAGCGGTTCTTTTTCCCTTCTTTTTTTTTCTCTCTTTTCAATGTGGCGGGCCTTACGTGGGGTGGTCCCCTCCGTGCCTTTGTGTGTTCGCTTCTCCGCAGCCGCCCCACGCGCCGCGCAGGGCTTCCGGGCCCCTGCGAACGCCGGCGCGGACGGCGGGTCGGAGCGGCGGGGGCAGGCGAATCCGTACAAGTCGTGGGAGCACCTCAACCACAAGTGGCTGCTGCTGATGTGCGTTGGGTGCCTCGCCGGGGGCCTCGCCGCGGGGCGGGCGGTGGAAGTCGACGAGAATGCACTCCGACCGCCCTTCCAAAAGTCCGCCGTCCTCGCAGACGCCGCCGCGACATTTGAGTTCCGTCCGGATTTAGCGCCAACGGCACTCCGTGTTGTGTTTCTGCTTGCCGCCCGACGCGCTGGTCTCGTGGCGTTAACACCAGACGAATCGTGTGCAGCCGCCCGCGGACTCGACGACGTCGCCGGCGTTCTTCGTCATCTCGCCACCGCACACCGCATAGCCACAGAAGACGCCGCTTCACTTCTCGCCATCGCCGCATTGAAGTTCCTCGCAGCTCCTGTGGACGCCGTGGATGCCGCATGGCGATGGGGACGCAACGACACAGATGAAGCTCCACCACGTAAGAATCCTTCAAATGGTCAAGAATACCACTCCGTGCATGATATTCTTACCGGTATAGGAGGTCTTACAGATGCAGAGTGCGTTGCGCTTCTGGCTTGTCACAGTGTTGGAGAATTCCATGAACATGTTAGCGGTATAGAAGACGTGACTCACATTGGAAGTCGCTACAAACTCAGTAATGAGTATTACAAATTTCTTTTGGCAAATGAGAAGCGATTTTTTGAGTTGGAAGTACCTCGAACAGAGGAAAACAAAGGAATTGAGAGACTTCCTAAAGATTTTGTTTGTGTATACGCAAAAGTAGGAAAAAAAGGAAAGAAAAAACAGTGTGTATTTAATAAACGGGAGGTGGATGCAATACTACATGATAAAACATGGCGTGCATTGGCGGAGAAATATGCATCAGATGAAGCGGCATGGTCAGAGGCTTTTCAATCTGCTTTCACAAAGATGATTGACAGCAACTTTTCACGTCTTCGCACCTACAATGCATCTGCTGAATGATATTGAATCTGATCAATCGGAAAGAAAGTATGACTGATGCTGATAATGACGTCAGTGAGTCTGTTGTTGTTCTTCTTCTTATTGTTGTTGTTGTTGTTGTTGTTCTTGTGAGCTACAGTTGCGTGATTGGGAAAAGAGAGAGAAAGATAGATGATGGATTGAACGCCATATTTGCGTTGTTCTCTATGTCCTCTCTCTCTCTCCCTCTGTGTGTGTATATGTTGGCTCTTTGTGATTGACATTTCTTTTACCTTTTCATCACTAATATGTATGTATATATATTTCTTGTTTCTCGTATCATGTCATGCGTGGTTTCTCTCTTCCCCTTTTTATTTCCTTCATGTTTTCACCTGTACCAATGTGAGATGCCCGGCCGGGAAGTGACTATACGTACTGTTTCCACCTCAAGAGAACGAAGACCGGCTGGGTCTCCGTTTGCGGGTTTGGTAGGTTCAACCAAACAGAAACAGGGCAAACAGCAAGAACAACAACAACAACAAAAACAGAAGCAGGAAGTTTGCCTTGCTCCAGCCTGTGAATCATGTCTTAAATTGTTGCAATGTTCTCAGAAAGTTCGTCGTGCACTGGAGGATGTGCTGATTAATGCCAAAATGGTTTTTCTTGATGATACACTGCATCACCAAATGGATGATGAGAGATGGCTGCGTATACTGCGGGCGATAGGAGAGGATAAGACAACGTATTACACGAGGATGGTACCTATTGTCTCCATAAAGTCTGCCACAGATGGCAAAGGACTGTAAACAGATTTATAGATTTAGATGGTTTGAGGAGGCATGAGTCTCCCGTGTTATTATTGTTATTATTATTATTATTATTATTATTATTTCTTCCCACTCAATTACTCACTTATTTTTTTTTTTCAGTCCCACGCGTGTAAGAAATGCCTTTACCTCTCTCTCTGAGTCGACCTGAAAAAAAAAAAAAAAAAGAAAGGTTAACGAATGTACAACTATGCATTGTTAGTGCTGTTTGTTGCCACTCTATTTAATATTCCTCTTGTATTCTCTTTGATTTTTCTTTCCAAGGAGCGCAAACACAGATATATATATATATATACGTCTTGCAGGAACACAACAAGCTAGACCAAAAGTTCTCAAAAAAAAAAAAAAGAACAAGAAGAATAATAGTAATACAGAGACATACACGAATTTGCAATTTGGGGTAATTAGATTTGGTAGGGAGAAAGGGATTTTCGTAGATGACTGAACCATTTGTAGAGAAGACGCAAAAGGAACTGGGTGCTATTATCACTGTGCCCAAATTGACTGATAAGCTTCTATCGCGACCGCCATTTCGCTTTCTCCATGATATTGTGATAAGTTTTATAAAGACAACATCATTTCCAGAGGGACTTTTCCCTGAGGAAATGCTTGACAGCGCCAACGTTGCCGATAAGGAAAAGAAAATAGCGTTCCTCTCGCTTCTTATTTCTGCTGTTGAGGCTGCAACAGGACAAAAGGTCTCGGCGCAGCCGTCGAAGATTGTAGCTGGTCAAGAGACCGATAAAACAAATGAGTTGCTACAACTCCTCGCTTCTTGCGCTGCACTTTCGGCAGATAAAAAGGCTGCTGCTGTTAAGATGGTGAAGGGAGGTTCTCCTGCTCCTTCTGCTACTGCTCCTGCTCCTACTGCTACTGCTCCTGCTCCTGCTCCCACTAAAGAACGTGGTAGCAATAACGCTGAGCCTTCCGCGACAACCGCGACGGAACAGAAATCAGAGGGAAGCAAAGATGACAAGGATCGTAAGGAGGAAGAGAGACGAAAACGAAAAGAGGAGGAGAAACGTGAAGCAGAAGAAAAAAAGAAGCGCAAGAAAGAAGCGGAGGCAGCAGCAGCAGCAGCAGAGAAGCAGCAACAACAACAACAAGAGGGTGAGAAGCTTGCCGCTAATCAGCGTGACAGTGGAGAGAAAAGCAAGTCAAAGAGTGATGAAACATCTTCTTTACGAGCAGATGATGCGAGGAAGGATGATGATGAGAGTAGGAAGAAACGAAAGGAGGCAGAGGATAAGAGTCCAAAGGCGGATACCGAGGAACGCCGCAAACGGCATGAAGAGAAGCGAAGACGTGAAAAGGAGTTAGCCGCCTCGACAGGAGGTTCAACAGGGAAAGAGGAAGCTGTACCACTTGATGAGAGCAGCGGTCTACTCTCACGAGCTGCGCGTACAGAGCCGCGTCAATCTGCTTCGGCAGGAAAAGCCCCACCCCGCACGAAGCCGACACACGAGGTGGTTGAGGGTGGAGCGGCGAGTCCCACTGTAGTGGCTGGAGTAATTCGTGAGAGCAAGCGCCCTGTTGGCAAGTCGCCTGCATCTCCGTCGGGAATCGATGAGAATAACGCGGATGACTGGATGCGTGTGGCGGAGCAGCAGGAGGCGAAGCCGGTGAGCTCCACGGCTGGCGGAGACGCGGCGGCGATGGAGGGCGAGGCGAGGGGTTATTTGGGGCAGCAGGCGCTGAAGGCGAAGCGGGAACAGGAGGAGGCCGCTCGCCAGGCGAAGGAGGCGAGTGCGCGGACCCCCGGCGCGGCTGGCGGGACGGGGATTGTGATTCAGAGCACGCGGGGAGGTCGCAGCGGGGCGGTGATGGCAGAGGGCGAACTCAGCAAACTGCGGGAGCAGCTCCAGCTCTTGACAAAGGCATCCAACCCACTCGGTAAACTACTTGAAGCTATCTATGATGATATCGACACCATGGCAAGGGAACTCGAGATGTGGCGCTCCGAAGCGCGAAGTCAGGCACTAGCAGCAGCTGACGCCAGACGACAGACAACAGAGAGTCTGCAGGAAGTACATGCACAGCTGCAAAACTTAGAGGATGCCATAAACGATCAGATTCTAAAGACACATAATATACGTCGCAATGTAATCAACAATGATAACGCTATCGCTGGAATGGTCCGTATGATTGTAAATCCTGATATGGGGAAGCGTTGATATTTGTATATTTATGCGACTATACGTTTGTAAGTGTTTTTTTTTTTTGCCTCTCTGTCTGTCTGTCTGTGAGTATATGTTCAACCCCCTCCCCACCACCACCACCCAATGTAGAGTGAGAAACTGAGGAAGAAAAAAAAGGAGTTTGTGATGAAGTGAGTGGTGAAAGCAAATGAATAAAGGAAAAAAAAAAAAAAAAAAGAAGCAACGTTAGATATAGAAAAAAAAAGGGGAGAGAAATAAAAAAAAAGAGGATAATTGAACCTCATGGCGTCGCCTTTTTTCTTTCTTTGTATTATTCATTCTTTCTTTATTTTTCCTTTCTTTTCCCGTTTTTTTTTTGCTTTTAGTCATCATGATTTACAGATGCAGTTATTTATATTTTTTATTTCCCGTCTTCTGTGAACTATTACTTCTTTTTCATTTGTTTTTATTGTTCCTGTACTGCATTTCTGCCAAATTTCTCTCAGTCTTTACTTTGCTTGTTTCTAGTCCCGCGGCGCATCAATCGACGGAAGAGAAGGAAAAAGAAATTATCGTTTGAGGCGACTGTGAAAAGTCGAGATTAGGGAAGCAGAAGGAAAGAAAAAATAAAGGTTAGAGAAAAGGGGAAACATCGAGTACAATTAGTAAGAGGGATAGAAGAAGGAGTCAAAACAGAAAAAAAAAAAAAGCGAAGAACCAGGGAGACAAAGGTACATAATACTCATCTCTTTCTTTCTTTCTCTCTTTCTTTCTCTCTCTCTCTGTTTTTTTTTTTTTTTTATCCCATTATATATATATATATATTCTGTGTGAGATAGTTCTTCTGTATCTTTCTTTCTCTGAGAAGGAAGGAGAAAAAAAAAAAAGGAAAGGCTGGAAATTTTTCAAGGTCTTCCGTTTCACTTGTAGAACGTGTTACAGCGGGAAGGGAATAACGGAGGAAATAAAAGAAAAGGAAAAAATAAAAGAACAAAAAAATACAATAGCAACAAAAATTAGGTAGATATACACATATACAGAAGCGTCACTGCCCTAAAAGCATACACAGGGATGGACAAATACGTTCAGGTGCGTGTGTTGGGCAAAGGCAGCTTCGGTTCAGCGTGGCTCGTGCAGCGGCGCAGTGACAAGGTACAACTTGTCGCAAAGGAAGTAAGATTAGCTGGCATGAAGCCCGCTGAGCGGGAGAGTGCCAAACACGAAATTGATGTGTTACGTACACTGAACCACCCTAATATTACGCGTTACGTTGATCATTATGAACACCATGGTTCACTTTTCATTGTAATGGAGTATGCCAATGGTGGGGATCTCTACTCAAAGATTAAAAGTCGTAAAGGTAATCGATTTACAGAGACAGAGATTCTGCATTACTTCTCTCAACTTTGTCTTGCTTTATTACATCTTCATGAACGTCACATTCTTCACCGTGATCTTAAGACTCAAAACGTCTTCTTGACAACAGATGGTGTGGTGAAATTAGGTGATTTTGGAATTAGTACAATATTACGTAATACCTTTGAGTTGAAGCGAACTGTCTGTGGAACACCGTACTACTTCTCCCCTGAGTTGTGTCTGAACAAACCATACAATAATAAGAGTGATGTATGGGCTCTTGGTTGTATTTTGTACGAATTAACTACACTTACCCATGCATTTGATGGAAGTAATATGAAGGCGCTTGTTCAAAAAATTCTAAAAGGGGTCTACCCTCCTATTCATTCTAGCTACTCAACCAACCTATCTAAGTTGATATCTGCTATGCTTCAAATTGATCCAAAGTTGCGCCCAAATGTTAGTCAAATTATTTCTACTCCATATATTCGTGAATCTCTCTCAAGTCTACAGAAAGTGGTGGAAGTTGCACACCACGATTGTCTTCCCTGTAAACCTTCACCCCAAAAGGGGGAGGTTGCACAACCAGCTCAGCAAGACGGCCAGATGCGTGCAGAGGAACGAAGACGTGAAGAACAGGCGAAAGCTATGAAAATGGCCAAAGAGCGACAACAACTACGATTACAGATGGAGCAGCGACAACGTGAAAATGAAGAACGTTTACGGAATATACAAGCACAACAACGACAACAGGAGATTGAACATAACTTGCGAAAGAAAGAGTTGGAAGCTCGGGCACGAGAGCAACGACGACATGTTGAGAAACGTGCTAAAGCACAAGCTCTTATTCAAAAACAAAGGGAAGAAGAATGGGAACGTAACATGAGAGAACACGCGGAATCAATTAAGCGTAAACAGCGTGAAGAGGAACGTGTTGCGCGTGAGAAAGCGGAGCAAGAGGCACTTCGTGAAAGATTGTTTAATAACAAGAATGAAAATAAAAATAGCCCTCCGAACCTTATTCGGAACCTCAATCATAACAATGATGAGAGGCCAAAAGATAATGCGGCTCCATCAGCCGCCGAAGCGGCGGAGTTGTACCGTGAGATGCGGCGACAGGCCGCACTAAATAAACAACGCTTGTTAGAAGATATGAGAGCAGCTCCTGTTTTAGGTCCAATCGCTGTTGCGGGTGTAGAAAAGCCATCACCGATGCCAGCACGTGATATTGTGAACCCGAAACCACAACGCTCCAATTCTTTGGGAAAAATGACAGCAGAAGAAGCTGAAGAAGCGCGACGACAAGCTTTCTGGCAAATGAGACGTGAGGCACAAGAGAACAAGCGACGTGCACTTGGATTAGATAATTTACCAGAAGAGGTCCCTTTAAAGGGGCAAGTGTTAGTAGCGCAACCTGGGAAGCCGAATCAGCAGCCACAACCGGTACAACAACAACAACAACAAGTAGAAGAACAAGTAGAAGAACAAAAGAAAGAAAAACAGCATGTACAAACACCTCAACCACCACAGAAGGGGGGTGATTGGACGAAAGATACTCCCGCTGTTGTACATGCGAAACGAACATTAGCAGTAGGAGGCGCACCAGCAGCATCACCCGTATCAGGAGATGAGGTTAAGAACGGGAAAGACGTTCAAGAAGATGTATCCGCACCTTCAAACGATGCCTGTGAGGTACAAAAGCGGGAGGATGATTATAATGCGCTACAGACGGTTATCGATGATGCACTAATGCAAGGCGGTAAAGGCGCTGTTGCAGAGGACTTTAGTGATGAGGCTTTCCCCGATACAGATCTTACGAAGTTTATGTTGGACGGACAAACACTCGTGCTACCAAATGTTCAGGCAACTGACCCGCTTATGCATCGTATTGAGTCACTTCGCCTCTTTTTGGAAGGGAAATTAGGCGAACGCTCACTGGTGGGATGCTACCGCCAGATGAATAATATCGCCACAGATGATGATGAAGCTATGTATCGTGTGGCAAATATGTTACCAGAAGAGCATCAAAAATATATTCCACTGATCGCACAGTTAATTGTGTGCGAAGATGCATTTAATCGTCAACTTGTTCAGTAGCATGGTTCTGTGTCAGTCTTTTTTTTTTTTTTTTTTTTTTTTTTTTTTTTTGAAGACCCTTTTAATATGATTAGTGGGTTTTATTATCATCTTCAAAACCCCTTTTTTTTGTTTTGCTTCTTTTTTCCTCCTTATGACCCTTTCGCCTTGTTTTGCTGGAAAAGTACCTTGTTCAGGATAGGGTACGGATAAGGGGTTTAAAGTGTTTGTATGTGCGTTCGTGTCTCTCTCTCTCTCCCCCCTTGTGTGTGTGTGCATGTTAATCTAAAGTAGACTGACTGGATAAGATATTATAAAAGAGTCAGAGGAAAACCAAAAGTAAAAGTGTCTTTTTTTTTTGTTTTCAAGCGTTAAAGGTGATGCCCTACTCTTACTGAGTTCTCATTTCGCCATTTTCATGCTTCTTTTTTTTTTTTGCTTGGGGCTTCACTTTTCCATTTTGTTTCTTTCTTTTTCATACATACACACAGAGGGAGGGAGAGAGAGAGAGAGAAACATATACACAAACAGGCAAAAATACAAAAAAAAACTGGTTTTGCACGGGTTAATTGTTCTTGTTGTTGCTTTTTATTATTATTGTTATTATCATTATTATCATCCTTTATTCCTATTTCATGTCTGTTCCTTTCGGCGTTCATTGTGAATGAGACAGATGAGGTTTTTTTTTTTTCCTTTTGTTGTGGTGTTGAAACTCGTTTGCTGGCCTGCTACAATGTCCTGTAACATACATTTCGGCCCCACTTGCTGTTTTTTCTTTTCCTTTTTTTTGTCACTTTTTTTTTATATCTCTTTCTTTCTCTTTTTTTTTTTCAATATTTTTATTTGATGAGTCTTGCGCTGAGAGGATGATATTGAGCGCATGTGAGAGTATGGCAATGTGGTTTGGAGTGTGTTTATGTTTCTATGATGATACAAGTGTGTGGGGTATCTGCTACCTGAGATATGAATATGTTTTCAATTATTGGTGAGTTCCCTGTAACTTCTACGTCTTCTTGTTGCTTATCCTTCCTCTTTCTGTGTTTCTTTTTTTTCTCTCTTTTTTTTTCTTTGTTTTACCCTTTGTAACAAGAAAAACCATAGGAAGTCCAGAGTACCGCTACACTGTACATATATAGATATATAGATATATTAAAACATAACATATCTATATCTATATCTATCTATATATATATATATATATATATATATATATATTCCTACTGTTCTATTAGTAATATATCTAGTTGTGTAGGTGGCCCTCCTTTTTCCCTTTTTTAATTATTTCCCTGTCGTCTACATATATATATATATATATATATATATATATTTATCTGTATATCCATATAGAAATCTATATCTTTGTGGATGCGTAGTGGTTTGAGCGGTGGACTGCGCCGCAGCGGAGCGCTGTTGTCAAGCCGGCCGTACGACGCGGTGGTGGTGGGCGGCGGAATCGCCGGTTGTCTCGTCGCCGGCCGCCTCGGCCTCGAGAATGTCCACACCGCCGTTATTGAGGAGGGCGCCGACATTCGCCAGCAGCCACGTTGGCACCGCGAGATCGCCTGCAGTCTTCTGGCGCACCGGTTCGCACGCCGCTCGTATGAGAGCCACGCGAACATCACATCCCCGCAGCGCACACACCGCGGCGGCGAGGAGGCCGTGCCGGTGATGATTCCAACACCTCGAGTGTTGGGCGGTGGTGGTGTGATGGGCGGACGCTCGTGGAATCTCGGCGATCAAGACGACTGGGATGGCGCCGCGTGGAGTTTTCGCGATGAATTATTACCACGCGTGCAGAAACTTGAGAATTTGGAAGTGGCAGCTCCACACCGTGGAAGACGTGGAAAGTTTTTTATTTCCCGCCCACAAGCTCTTTCACCCTTCTTCCGCGTCTTTTGTGAAGCCATGTCAAAGGACACCGCACTCACCAGTGATTTTAATAAGAAAGAGTACCGCATGAAGACAGGATGTGGAAGGTCAGAAATCTTTGTCGATTATCGTTCTGGTATTGCTAACACAACGTTAAAGAGCTATTTAATGGATACCATTGCTCTTAAACGACCAATAGATGTTTTTTGTAATGCACGCGTATTTGGAATTAGCGCAAAAGAGGGTGATAAGTCTACCGCTACAGGGGTTTCATATGTAACTCCAGAAGGTCGTACAGAACATATTGAGGCTAATACGGTTATTCTATGTGCAGGTGGTATTGGTACACCACGTTTACTTGCCGCCTCTCAGGGAACCCTCGCAATTGCTCCAGAAGTGGGAACAAACTTTTGGGACACACCACAGGTTAAAATGCAGTTCCGTACTCGCATGCCACTCAGTCATAACTGTTTTATGGAACCTCTTGTACAAATGTTTCTTGGTTTGAATGTCAAGTTTGGAAGACCTTTACACGCCCTCTGCTCTGCATATGATGATATGATATGTTACTGGTCCAGTACCGGTCAACAAACTCCTGATGTGAAATTTATTTTTCAACCCTTTACGATGAATAATGATGGTTCTACTCCGGAAGGAGTTCCACATGGAGTTCAAATTATTGCCCAATTGGCACGACCCAAAAGTCGTGGTTACATCCGGGCAGATGGCACCATTGACCCACAATACTTAATGCACCCGGATGATGAACAGGCCCTTTGTAAAGCTGTAGCACGTGTAAAGGAATTGACCAAGATGCTTCCTCTATCAAATGTTTTTATCGAAATGGTGGGAGAGCGTTTTGAGTCTGCTGGTATCTACGGTGGAGGTTCACTTCCTGTGCTTGATCCACGCAAATTCCTTGTGAAGAATACCACAAACCTTTACGTGTGTGATGAGAGTGTACTTCACGCCCCATTGCTGGGTGATTCACTGCCATACATATTAGCGTTAGGGGAAAAGTTTGCCGATGAATTTCTACACAGGCCTGATAATCGCCAGAAGTTTGAGAGTGCCGCGCAAGGAAAGAATGAGGCACGCATTATTTATTGAAGAAATAAAGGTTGGAATGTAGAACACGTATCGCAACCTTTTATTTCTTCTTTTTGTTTATCTTTCTCTTTCATCTTTTTCCATATATGTTCCCAAATGTTGTCGAAGCTTTTTATTAGTATAGCAAAAAAAAAAAAAAAAGAAAGAAAGAAGAGGAGGAATAATAATAATAAAAAAGAAAGAAAGGAAGAGGAATCTGTAGAGGTATCCTTTTTTCCTTCCTTTATGTGGTGTTCATGTACTTAAATTTGTGCCTCCACAGTTTGGATCGGAAATGCTACTACGCTTCTTTTCTTCTTTTTGATATTGTTGCTGATGGTGTTGTGGTTGTTGTTATTGCTGTCGTCAGAATTTTTATTTTCCTCTTGCATTTAACGTTTGTTGTAATAACCTCAGACAGGATTCTCTGTTTTGTTTGTCCTGTTCTCTGTTTTTTTATTTATTTTATTTATTTCTTCTTTGTTTGTTTTAATGGCTTACTTGTATTTCTATTGTTCCTTATCATGTCTCTTCTTTGCTGTGGTATTTCTTGTTTTGTTTTCTATTATTATTTTTTTTTCTCTCTCTCTCTCTCTCTCTCTCTCTCTCTCTCTCTTTGGTTTTATTTCGCGGAAAGGAAAACTTTTCTGTGCAAAGACCAACGCTAGAAGCCGTTTTTTTTCCTTCTCTATCATATTTATCCTGAGAAAAAAGTAGAGCAGGAGAGAAAAGAAAAGAAGAAAAATCGCGAGACAGAAGAGAGCCTTCAAGGAAGTGTAAATAAATAAGGAACAACAACCAGTAACAAAAGAAAAAAAAAAAAGGAAGAAGAAACTTGCGAAAAGGAAAATAGAAAAAAAAAAGACTTGGTGCGTCTAAAATAAAGAAAAGGTTCTTCAAATAAGAATAACTGAGGCAAAAGAAAACTAAACAAAACAAATAAAAAAGAAAAAAAAAAAACAGAACAATATTAACAACAGAAAGACTACCCTGCAGAAAGAAAAAAAAGGATATAGGGCAGGATAAAAAAAGAAATCTCACACACATAGGTACATCGACATATATATATATATATATATATCTACCTAAATATTTAGAGAAAAAGGAGAAGGAGGTACTTCTTTCCTTCTATATTCTTGTGTAGTCACTTTTTCCTTCTTTTTTTAATTATAACTCTTTCTCTCTCTGTGCGTGTGTGTCATTCTTCGTATTGTCTGTGAAGCAATTTTCTATGGCGGAAGTTAACACAGCGGCTGCAGCATCGTCGTCATCCTCGTCGACAAACAATGTGACGCCGGCACAGGCGAGTGTCAACGGCCGCGAGATGAACACCACCACCGTAACAGGCGGAATTGGTGGCAACAGCCGAAAGACATTCACAATCCCAAAGTTGGACGAAAAACAGTTGGAAATAAAATACTCTGATAATCACAATAGTGGTTCTACCTTTATTGTTGCCGAGGGAGGTCCCAGCAATAACACAACGGAGGTAAACTCCGTCCCGTTGAATTCCAATGCCCCTGCATTTGTTATTGGCTCAGGAAGTCTATATACTAACGCGAATGTGCTTGTTGATAGTCCCTCCGCAAACGCCGCTTATCTCTCCTTGCTGCAGCAGCAGAGTCTCCAGTACCAAATGCAACAAGTTTCATCAGCCGAGCAGGAGCTTTATCTCACCCGTGAGATGCTGCAGCAGTGCCCGCATCCCGTATTGGTGATGGTGTTGTCATCTCTCGTTGACGAGAACCCCGCACTCTGCCCGTTTGTGCGGCAGCGCTGCGAGAGGGCCGCCGTGATTTTATCTCAACAACAACAGGCCGCCGCCGCCATGGCCGCCGCCGCAGCCGCCGCTAACAGCAACAGCAACAGCAACAATAATAATAATAATAATAACAACAACAGCAGCAGTGTGAATAACAATAACGGCAATATCAATGGCAATAATGGACGTTTCACTGCCCCGTGGGTCTCCCACACAGCGGCGGCGAGTAATTATGAGAGCCCGAGGCCCGCCGCTTCATATACATCAAGTGCATCTCCGCATGCCGGCAGTACTCGCAAAGGCCGTGGCAACCGTACACGCGAAGAGGGTCTTTGCAGTGTACACAACAGTGTGCGCTCCATGAATCACTTGCAGCTCAACAAACAGACAGGACTACACGAGTGTGTGCACGGCTTCCACTGTCTTGAGGACGGCGGATCGGCAGCGGTAACGCCTTCAAACTTTAACACTAGCTCACCATCGCCCTCACACGCGAAAGGTTCATTAGCGCCATCCAGAGATGCCCATATCAATACAGCCTACAGTAATAACAGCTCACCCGCTATGAAGAATAATAGCAATAGCAATCTGAATGTTAACGGCGGCAATAATAACAGTAATCATAGTCATAATAATAATAATAATAATAATAATAATAATCATCATCATAATAATCATCATATTATGAACAATAACAACAACAACCGAAACAGCATCAATGGAGGCACTTTGTTTGGAAGCAATATTAACAGCCGTGGTGAAAGTGGTGAAAACCCAGTGGTTAAGGAGGAGAGAGGCAACACTTTATTCCAAGCCCTTAATGACTCAGATAGCATGAACTCTGGGTTTGATATTCTGAACTCTATATTGCAGAGTGTGCGAGAGATCGCCGAAGAGGAGGGGAACGTAGAAGAATCAGTAAAATAAAAAGAAATGTGTGAAATGTGAGTAGAAATAAATGGAGTGAGTCCTAGTTGTAAGATCAAATTTTTGATGTGAAATATTTTTCCTTTATACTTGATTACAGTATGCCTTTCTCTCCATCATTATTTATATGTATGTATGCATTCGTATGCTTATTATTATTATTATTATTATTATTATTATTATTATTATTATTATTATTATTATTATTATTTACTTTTTTCTTCTATTGCCTGTGCAGTTCAGCCGCCTTTCTCTCACTCCCTCCCCACTGTGCACATGTCCACACTCGTGTCTGTTGGTTCTCAGACCAACGAAGAAGCAACAAAAAAAAAAAGAAAAAAAAAAAAGAAATACATTGAAAAATAAAATAAAAACAAAAAAAAAAGATGCATTACGAAGTAGAAGTTACTGCAATTAAGTAAATGGCAAGAGGGGTATGGGGAAATAACCTTAACGCAAACAGAATATATATGAGTATAATACGAAGAAGGTGCATACCAACATTGCCGCTACCAAATAGCTAGAATTTCCCTTCTCAGTACCTTGAATTTTCTTCCTATTCATTCTCTATGATTGTGATTTTATGGGAAAAGAGAGAGAGAGAGTTGTTGTTGTTTGTTTGTTTTTTTTGTGAGAAAAGAAAAAAAGGAAAAAGAATTCACGGTTGCTTACCATCAATAGCAACTGCGGTTGCCAAGATGAATGTAAACGCGACCCCCATCCCCTCCCTTCCCCTCTCCGAAAAGGAAAAAAAAAAAAAAAGCGTGTGAAAAAAGTTTAAACAAACACAAAATCAAACCTCATTAAAATTATATCTATGTGAACAAGAAAAAAAAAAAGGGAAAGATATAACCAGAGTAGAGGATACACACGTATCCACGGTGGGTAAACGGAAAAAGAATAAAAAAAAAACAGATATTTGCTGAGAAATGCACACACGCACAAGTATTTAAACTCACTTGAAAAGTGATAAGGGGAACTGTATTAAAAGTAAAAAAAAAAAAATGAAATATATTGCGAATCTATATGTGATGATCCTTATATTTGATGCGGAGAGTATGAAGAGATGTAAAAGATAAAAGTAGAGAGAATGAAAGGTAAAAGGACACATTGGACGAATAGGAGGAGAAAGGTGAAACGTGAGGGTAGACAACTAGTGGATTAGCTTGAAAGCGGCTTCTGTGCCTATTGGATGTTTTATCCCTTTTTTTTTTTCTTTGGTAATTCGTCCCTTTTTCCCAATTTTTCTCCTTTTTTTCCTGTTATTTTGTTTTCTTATTATCTGTACTTGCGTACTATTATCTTCCCCTAACCTTTTTAATTTTACTTTGTGGTTTTGCTTCAGTTTTTTTTTTCTTTTTTACATTTGTTCCTTTTTTGGTATTTTTCTATTATTATTATTATTATCATTCTCATTACTATTATTATTATTACTATCATTATTATTACTATTACTATTGGTCGTTTTGGGGTGTTTTTTTTTCTTTACTCTTTCGAGTGATGGTAAGACATTGTATATATGTATGTGTGTGTGTGTGCATGTTTCTTTACGCCCTTTTTTCTTTTATTTTTGTGTTTATGTAAGTGTGTATATGTGCGTTTTTTATTTTTCTTTTAAATCTCTTTTCTGATTTCCAGGTCTTGTTATATCGCTACGTATATATATATATATATATATATATATATATATATATATA